CACATAATGCTGTTGGGAGAATTAACTAGACCTCATTACATCTCTTCATATGTGACTTTACAGATGATTCCAGGTGGGAAGTGTGTGATACAATGATGTCCACTTATATACACTGGCTCATATACCTCCTGATATGTAAAACTTTGCTCTAAGTAGCAAATGTTACAGAAAAAACAATGCTATTAAGTTGCTACCAAAGATGCTTCTTTCATGTGAGGAAAATCCTCTGTTAATGTATGAAACAACTTAACGTGTTGGTCTGCCATCATCATTACCTATTGAACACACACGTACACGCACACTAGAGCAATCAGGAAAATATTTACACGTTGTTCTGTCCAGCAGATATACCGGTATTATTATTGTTAGCTCATGAAATTCACCAAAGCTTTGTACTGACTCACTGCCAGGATGAATGTCACCTCTCCTGAATATTTTTTGAATTGCTAATCACACGTGGCTGTAATTAAAAAACCGTCAGTAAGGATATAAGGCCAGATTCTGGTTCCTGCACCATTGGTGATTAGGGGCCCTAATAGCCTGGGTGTAGTATTCCCCCAGTTCAATGGGAACTGCAGATAACCAGCCTGGATGGCTCTACACTGCCTCCATTGGCAGCTTTGGTACAGGTGTGTCAGAGCTAAGGTCAGGAGCTGTGTTCAGAGCTAAGGTCATTCTGACCTGCAAGGCAGCTATTGGAAAGCTGCTGTCCATTGGAACAGCTTTCAGGAGTTAGGCAGAAAGAATCTGGGTAGTGTAAAGCTGATTTAAAAGTCTTTGTCACATTTCGTTCTGCATTATAATGTACTGTGGCATTTCAGGAAGTTCAGCACAGAGTTTGGTTCTCCACTTAAAAGACAATACAACATGTATTTATGACTTCACTATTAGGTCTGCATTATTCTGGGGTATAAAATCATCAGTAGTAGCAGTTACTAGCTTTTCTCTCTATAGAAACTCCTTCTAAACTGGCATTTCAGTGCCACTGATGTTCCTACAATTAAGAATATTTCAGTATCCCTTCACTAGCATTTTATACAGCTAAGGTTTTAGAACTCCTGCTGTGAGTTTTATACAGTAAACAACAGTCTGACTTTCTGAATACATTTTGGCAAATTGTTAGTGAATCATTACAAGATACATTTAATTAGTTTTATCATTATTGTACACTACAGTTTACATATGGGCAGAGTCTGAAGTAAAATTGTTTGAATATGGTTACAAGACTTTGCACTTTTATTTTCATCTGCCCTACCCCATATTTCATCAACCCTACCTCACCAAGCCTCTGGGGATACTAATGTGTGTGTGCTGCTCAAAAACTACTGAGAGAGGTACCCAGTAAAAAGCCTGTTTAGAATATCTAATGATCTCAATGATTAATAAATTCAGTCATAAAATAAATTCAGTCTCTCAAAAGCCTAAAACCCATTTCTACACATAACTCTGGGACTTAGGAGCCTAAGTCTCAATGGGATGCGTTTAACATGTGCTGTTAGTGTGATCCAATAAATTTTGGTGCAGTTCATGCCAAAGTTAATGGCTCCCAGGCACAGTGTCTACACACAGTAGTTTCAGCCAGGGCAGAGTAGCCCTGGGCTGGTAGGAGGCACAGCAGGGTCAGCCCTGGGCTTCGGGTCATGGCATCAGGCAGTGGAGAGCCTAGCTGAGGCATGAGTGCCCGAAGAGTGAAGCCATGTGACTAGGCAGCAGGTAGAAGTCTGGCCCCTGTTGCCTGGGCTGACCAGGCACAATTTTTGCTTGGGTAAACATTTACACATGTGTTTGGATGCAGTTATTTTCACTGCCATCAGATAATACTGTCCCTGACTATCTTTCTTATGGCAATGAAAATCAGTTTGCCGCAGTCTAATAGCGTTGCATGTTTAGACTGTGATGCTTTAGACCACAGCAAATTAGTTTACTGTGCAGTTAAGCCCATATGTAGACAAACCCACTGGATGCATCTACATGAGATGCTTAGTGCGCATTATCTTAATAACACTGTGCAGTAGCATGGCGGTTAAAAACCGTGCTAATAGACTACTGTGCAGTGCTATTAGGCTAATGCGCAGTAAGCATCACAAAATAACCATGCTCTGGCACTACTGTACAGTAACTCTAGTTACTACGCATTTAGTTAGTACTTCGTTAAGGAAGTACTAAATTAAATGTGCAGTAACTAAGGTGCATTAATGAGCGTGTATATGTGCCCACCGAGAGTCAATGAGACAAAGTTATTAAATTACTTTAGGATTTTTTTGACCATCTTTATCCAGTAATTAATTAGCTCTTTGGAAGATAAAGTGCTTATTTGAAATACAAATAAATGATATTATCTTTATGACCTATTTTTAAATTAAAAAAAGGAAAGGGAAGGTGCCTAATACTTGTAATGAACTGAAATGGTTTAAGTATTATCAGAGATTTCCCTAGTAAAATATAAAATACATTGATGCTCCAGCTATGGTCCTGTTCTATTTTATTAGTACCCAGGAGAAGGATCTCTGTACTGGGACACCAGATGTTCATCCCACATCTGTATGATATTTTGGGAACACTTGAAAACAAGCAGTGATTATATAATACATTCTAAGGATTTGGAGATGTTTCCCTTACTCCTGCTTCACATTAACAGAACATGTTGGTAGTTTAGTTCAAGCTCTCCTAGACTAAGCTGTATCCGTGCCTTAACTCAGTGATTAAAGGACTAACCTTTCACTTTTCTGGAAAAGAGATGTAGGTGAGGAGAACTTTTAGCTACAGATAGGAAGCATGTCATTTCTGTATGTCAGTGTTTTGCAATCTGTAGAAAACCAGCAGTTTGTGGAATATTTGCTGATGTCCTGCAGAGAACTGGCTGGTCAGAAAATGTTGACTCCCCCTTTTTATTTCTAATTGTCAAGTTGTAATACAAGTAGCTAAAAATGCATTAAAGACTTTCCTTTATCACTTTAAATGTAAGCACTTGCTATGTTTGCCTCTGGGCTGTTAATGAATCATCAAAAGCAGGAGGTGGCCTGTATGATCTCACAGGTAGGAAGAAAGTTTTCTGTGATACAGTTTGTAGAGATGAGTTCCATAGTGCTAGGAAATGTCTAGGCTTTTTTAGGAATCTCTACTTTGTGTCATGCTTTGAAGTATTTTGCTAAATGTTAAATGCATGACATTTGTTTAGTAAGTAACTGAGATGTAGTTACATCAATGTCAGAATAGACAGTCATAAAAATTGCAATTAATCTCTCTAGCAGGTTCTGTCAATGTAAAACTTATTCATAGGACTTGCTCTTCATAATGTATCATACAGTGGTTATTGAGTTACACCAAGAAGAAAAAGGAAGCTATTTATTGCCTTCACCCCAAAAAATATAAATGAAAAGATGGAGATATACTCATAGGGTGGAAACAGATGCCACCTTTCATTCCTTTGTGCCACAGAAAAAAATGGTTATGGTGGCACAAAGGCCAAGCAAACAGACTCCATGCCCTTGTTTCATCACAAATGCCCAAAATTTGTGGTTACGACAGAAGTGGTATCAATTTGTGCTGCTATTTAGCATTGGACATCTGCTTGTTTTCTGGTGCAAGAGCATGGGCAGCCCAGAGCTGCCTGGACCGGTGCTCTGAGAGCTTGAGGGGCCCAATTTTGTGCACCCTGGGAATTCCTATGCAATATCGGGCCGCTCAAGCTAGGCAGCCTCTGGAGCGTGTCTCAAGCTAGGGGTGTGTCTCTATAAAAGGTGAAAGTCAGGCAGTTGCTTTCTAGGCATGAGGAGACTGATCCTTTATGGGAATTCCTGGGGTGCAAAGGACCAGGCCCCTCAAACCTCAGGAGAACACATTGCCTGTTGTCCTGCAGCATCAGCACGTGGACAACAGGTGATGTGTGTTTCACCCGATGAAGCAGATCAGCTGTGCTGGGATGTATCTTGGGGGACATCCCAGCACAGCTGATCTACTTCACTTGGTGGTATCTATTTCTAGCCATAGTGTAATGTGTTAGAAAGATTGTTCGGTTTTTAAAAAATCTTCTTAAAGGCTACAAGACATTCTTCAAAAAGGGCTAGTATGAATTGTTATATTTAATGTACTTGCATATTTATTGATCATTATACATATTCTACATACCAGCTTTTTGATTAGTAATGGAAACAAGCATGGCATGAGATACTGATTCATAAGTTTGGGTCATATTCCTCCATCTTGAAACTCTGTTGAACCTCTGAAGCTGTACATGTAGAATGGCCAGAAGCCTGGCTATTTTTGTGTGCAAGATATCTGTAGCTGATACTTAAAAACTGTTTTCATGTGGAAGCTAGTGTTTTTCAAACTGAATATAAGAGGCAAATAAAGATTTTACCAGCCTTTGCCTCGAAGGCAGAAAGCTAGTCATCAGAATGAACTGTAAAGGTTATCCAAATATTTCCCCCAATAGAATAAGCTTATGAAGAATAGATTTCACAGTGCTACCTTAATAGATTGCAATGGAAATTGTCTGAATTTCATGATCAGTTATAACAGGCCACAGAAGGGCTTTGTAATTAGAATTATTGGAACTAGAATAGTTCTTGTCCGTTTAAAGCCAATGCATTACAATATTACAAAAGAAAAGAAACTGTTAGTAGGCCCATATATAAACTGTGGGCAAAGAAATGGAGACAACTTAGAAAGTTTACACAGAAAGAGCAAAGAACAGGCATCGAACATCAATAATGAATTGCTACAACAGTCAGTTGAAGACATTTCTTGGGAATCATTAGAAAAGAAGCTGTACCCATTTGCACAGTCCAGCAATTTAAAGTTGTGAGGGTGAGAAGCACTTACTGCCATGAAGTAAAAGTGAAATGTATCTTTAAAATAAAGTTTTTAATTAGAACTGGCAGTTCTGAACCTCCTGTTGGCAGTGACCAACCTGCTGAAAAAATGCCCAATGCTGTATTGCCTGTAAAGTGCATTGCCATGCTGCTTTAGTACTTAACAATAAAAAAGGACAATTGACATTTACAACTGAACATTTTATTTAAATATTACACATTAGGAAACTTTGCCCTTTTGTTGTTAAGATAGGATGGCAGAAGGCAGGGTAGATTTGCACCTTGCAGGCTAATTAAATCAGAGATGCATAACATGTTTTCACAAGCAGTGGGCTTACTTTATCAGATATTGTGGATGATGCTGTGGGTGATGGGGATAAGACAGGATGGCCATTTTAATGACTAGCACTTATGGTGGACTCCAAATAGAGCTGATATCATGCACAGTGTCACTTTGTAATCCTATGTAACGTCCAGCAAGTCTTCACTGATGTGAGCAGTATTCATGTGGACCCTGGTTCAGGAAGTCACTTAAGCATGTTTAAATTTAAATGTGTACTTCAGTTGCACTGACTTCAGTGGGACTTGAGCATATGCTTAAAGCTGAACTTGTATGTAAGACTGTTCTAAACAGGGAGATCGTCCTGGACAGGGGCCCTAGTTCCCCTTAAGAAAGGACTGTATTCACCATCAGGATTTTTGAGGTTTAGAGTCTTTATTTCAAATATACCTGAGTGTGCATTTTTGGAAATGAGAAACAAATTGAACCCTGTGGAATCTCCTGTTGCTGGACTAAGTAAAATTGGTGTTTTTTAACATTCATGGAAAAAAGTAACTTATTTTTAAGGGTCAGAAAGGTTAGGTGAATGGAAGAGCAAAGCGTCCCTTGCCACCTGTCTCTGCTTAATCTTCTGAGAAGAATGACCCCATCTCCTCTTCCTTCCTGCTGTGGTTTAGGGTCCTTTGTGGTTTCTGCATTCTTCCTCTTTTTTATTGTTTTGGCTGCTCTGTCATTTAGCAGAATCCATCTTTACTATAGTCCGAACCCAGCAAACCTTGGGCTGATCTCATCAACCGTGTGCTCAGCATGAGCATGAGTCATAATAGAAAGTAGAAATCTTAGCTCTTTCTAATTTGGCATTGTGGGGGAGGGGAGGGGATTCTGATATTTCCAAACTTATTTTCTGGAAGGAGTTTTGTCAGTTACGATAACCCAGTTTAGCACATAAATCTTTAAGCTGACTGGCAATTTCCAGTACACCACTCAGGGTCTAATTAAGGAGCAGCATTTTCTGTTAACCACGTATTCTAGTGGAAATGCAAGAATGTGAGGAACAATAGAAGCAGATGAGAACTGAATCAAAACAGACACAGCAAAATTGCTTGTTGGACCAAGGACCCTGATGGGAAGTGAGCTGGTCAGAAGCCCATTGTTGCTTCCAGTGAACAAGCATATCATGATACATACGCTCTACTCCCCAGTTTGAGGTTAAATAAATGGGAAAGGTAGGAGGCAGGCAACAAGAATACTTGGTTATTTAGGGCTTGCAACACAAAAATCAGGACAGCAAAAACTGTAATGAGGTAATGCCAATAGGAGGATTTGAGAGTAATAAGAACTTTTATAGACAGATCAGGAGAAAATAGGTCCATTAATAAATGAAGAGTAGTTGGTAATTAGAGATATATGTAGGTTTACAAATGTGAGAGAGCTGTCATGATTCAGTTTTCTGAACACTGCCTTCCGCCTGCTATTGGGAATGCTGGAAGTCAGCCCAACAAGGGTGTTACACAGCCATGCACATCTCCCTCTCTTGTGGAGATTTCCATATGTTTTCTCTTTCACCATTACTTTTTTTAATCAGAAGAACAAGTCATTTAGCAGGAAACGTGTTTTGCTCATTGCGCATAGTACAAGTAACAGTGAAATCTGTCAGTGAGGTCAGGTTTGCTCAGAGAAAGGAAGGAAAAAGTTAAAATTCTTTGGTGCTGATTCTGCAGTTGCTTTGCAGCTATGGAGTCTTTGGAAGTCATTGGTGCTGCAGAAGGGCCCATGGTAGGATCAGGGCCTGAGAAGGAAAAAGAAAGTGCAGTATGTTTGTTTAAGCTGTAAAAGCCATCTTGAATTAACTCACAGCTTTTCTGCCACCCAGGGTCTCCTGGGCTGAAATCCTGGCCTGTCTTCAAGTCAATAGGAGTTTTGCCGTTGGCTTCAACAGAGCCAGGAATTCACCCCTGGTGTTTAATTTAAAGCTTCAGGAAAGAAATCATAACATCTCCACTACATTTGTATAGTTACATAAACCACTAGTGAACAAATGAATGAGTCTGAACTTTGCTCTACCATCTGCTTTTAATTATACTGACTAAATAATAGAAAATAACTTGAAGCAATTAATAACAAAGAAGTATGATGATAAAAATAAATAATCTATTGATAGAACCAGACAGGGGAAAACTTAGGATAGTCAAATATTTTGTATCAAGGTCATTCATGTTGAATAATCTGCACTCAAGAATATTCTGAACATTGGGCATGTCTACATGAGATATGTACTGCGCAGTAGACTAATGAGCTGTGCAGTAAAAGTCTTGGTGTTTATGTGCGCACCCCTATTAGGCTGAAGTAAACTAATTTACTTGTATTTACAAATACTATCCTGTTGCAGAATAAATACTCTGAAGCCGCGCATGTGTAGATTCTGCACTAGTTGGCTGGGGCACAAGGGTGCTTCAGTGTGGGGGGCTGCCTGCTGGCTACCCTTGTGCCCCCGCCAGCCCCTCTGCTGCATGTTGAGCCTGGGGAGAGCAGCCCCAGGCTGGCAGGCTGACCCTCAGGATCCCTGACAGCTGGGGCTGCTTCAACCTGGCTCAACATGTTGCGCTCCCAGACGCACATTCAAATGGCAATAACCTCCGTAGTTTATTGCTCCAGAGTTTATTACTCCCAGGTACCCATTCAAATGGTGCACCTGGGAGCAATAAACTCTGGGGCAATAAACTCCAGAATTAATTGCTATTAATTCTATCGTATTAATTGCATATGTAGATGTTCCCACTGTCTAGTAGACTTATTTTACTAGTGCAAATTATTTTTGAAAAATCATAGGTAGCTGAGAGATATTGAGAAACAGGAAAAAGCCAATGTAGTATGTACAGGGGTGTAGGTTGGCTTCTTTACTCTTCATTTCATCCAGGAAGAGCACACACCAACTGCTGAAACTTCCTTAGCCTGATGAAAGGTTTTTGAACCCGAAAGCTTGCTTAATAATTGTTTTCCAACTATTTAAGTTGGTCTAATAAAAGATATCAGATTCACCCAAAGAACCTTGTCTGCCAATGTAGTATGTATATTTAAAAAAAAGGAAAACTTACAGTTCTACAGATTACCAATCAATTTAACCTCTGTCCTTGGAACCAGTAACATGAAACCAATTCACTAAGGCTAAATCTCTTAAATTGAGTGGCTAATATTATGCAGCTAATTCCATATTTAAAGTTATTTAGATATCAGTGGGAGTTAGGTGCTGAAATACCTTTGCACATATAGGTCCTAAATCTGTCTTTAGGCATTCAAATGTACTTATTTGCCTATTCAAATTAGGCCCATTTTCAAATATTACTGCCATACAAAATCACTTGAGTACATATTAAATATTTTGAGATCTGGCTGACAGATTGCAAAAAAAGTAGTTGTCAATGGGAAATTATCCTTTAATGACATGTTTCCAGGAGAGCTCCCCAGAATTGGTACTTAGTTTGATGCTATTCAACCTTTTTCATCAATGGTTCAGACATAAATATAAAATAATTCTGACAAAATTTGCAAAGGAAATAGAGGTTGGTAGAATGGTAAATAAATTATTAGGACATGATAGTTATATAGAGTGAACCAGATCAGATGAGAAGCTGGGCCTTGTCAGACAGAATGAGGTTTACAGTGAAATGCAAAGTTATGTCTAGGAACGAGGAATGCGGACCAAAACGACAGAATGGGACTGAAGCAAGCAGGGACTGAAAAGACTTTAAAGGTCACAGTGGACAAAAAACTGAATGTGAGCTCCCAGAGTGCTAGAGCAGCAAAGGGCAAATACAATCCATGGCTTTATTAAAGGAGTAATAAGTAGGGAGGAGACTTAATGGCATTAGTAGGACAAATATTAGAATAATACAAGCAGTTCTGGTGTCTGCATTTTTAACAAGGGTGCTGGAAAGTTAAAACACACAGAAGAGAGTTTTTGCCAAATGATTCGACTACTGGAGAAGATGCTTTACAACAGAAGGGTTAGGACTTATCTACACCATATGCTGGTGCTTCTAGGGTGGCATGCTCATAAGCAGATCTGGCCCATTTGCTCCCATTTACACATACCAAACCCAAAAATGCAGCTGTGAGGCCACTATGGAAGCAGCCCCTGCTGCCACTCTCAAGCACAAGGGAGACAGAAGTCCTGAGAGTGGCTGTGGAGGGATTCCCCAGAACAGCTTCTCTGCTGAAGTTCTAGGGTTGGTACATGGAAGCGAGAGCATGTGGGCAGGTGTGCTTCAGGGCTCAGCAGCCTCTAAAGGACCGGGGTGTAGTGTTCAAGTTTGTTAATTTTGTCAGAATAAAGACGAGAGGTGACTTGACTTCAGTGAGGAATTCTTCTTCACAGGGAGGAAAAATATTGAGTACTAAAGGGCTCTTTAATTTGGAGGCTGAAGCCAGGTTTTTAACAGTGAGCTTGGTTCATCATTGGAACAAACTGAAGGGAATGGGTATCTTTCCCTTTCTTAATGTCTTCATCGCAGGATGGGATACCTTTCTGGAAAATATGCTTTAGTCCAGAGCTGTCCAACAGGCACCCCATGGGCCATATGCCACCCCCAAAGGGTTAAACTGTGGCCTCCAGGCTCTGGGTCTGGGCACTGCTTCCCCCTTTGCTCTCTTACTGCTGCCATTGGAGTTTCTGCCTTCTCCTCCCTCCTCCAGCTTCTGCTGCTTGCTGTTGAAAGCCCATGGCCAGAGGGCTCCAGGGGACTTGGGAACTGCACGGTGTGTCAGGGGCCTGTGTGGTCTGGTGGAGAGGGCTGCGCAGTACTGTGTGTGGTTCATGTAGTCTGAGCCTAGGGTATGTGTGGCCTGTGCAGAAGTTGAACAGCCCTGCCTTAGTTAAACACAAGCTACTGAACTTTTTACAGGGGTAAGAATGAACTCTACTGGGCTCTGAGACATAGTAGGTCAGACTAATGGTCCATTCTGACCTGGAGCTCTGTGACTCTGTGGAAGTCTTCTCCTGTGATGCAACCAAGTTGTCCCACCAATATCAAAGAAGGAATAGGGAATAGGAGGGGCAAAAACAGTAGACAATATGGGTTAAGAAAGAATGAATCTTATTAAATGAAGTTGATTTTTTAAACAAAATTGCAGAATTAGGAACCAATCCTGTAAACATTTCTTGAAGGGAATGTCTGCATAAGCCAATATGATAGTGTTCGGATACCAAGGCCATACATAGAAAAATCAGGTAGTGAAATATGTAGAGTGGATGAAGGAGATACTGTAGATATAAATAGATTTGGATCTGAAAAGTGTTTGATACTCATTTGTGAAGCCTTACTTGAAAAATAAATAGAATTGTTTTGGAAAGAAACACTGCCATAAAGCCTGGCTAAAGAGTGTGAATAAGGTGTAATGATACATTTTAATATATTAGAGTGAGTGGGGATGAATGAAAACTCCAAACCAGCATATTACTTAATCATGCATTTAACTTTAAGCCCAAGAACAGGAGCATTGTCTTCCACCACCCAGTCTGTAAATTCACTAGCCACAGCTAACAGAAGCTTCAGTGGGATGTGCTTTAAATTAAACACTCGTATGTGCTTTGCTAGACTGGAACCTACAGAAGTCTGGTTTGGCTGATAAAAGTCTGCAAATACCGAAAAGTGTGTAATGGTTTCATGGAAATCAATGGAGCTCCATTGATTTACACTGCCTAAGAGTGGGGCTTGAAGCATGGAGCAGAATTGTGTAAAAGCTTGATCTGGCTGTCATAGATTTATAGATGTCAGGGGCTGGAAGGGACCTCACAAGATCATCAGGTCTAGCCCCCCTGCTCTTAGGCAGGAAAGACTGCTGGGGTCAAATGACCCCAGCAAGGTGTGCATCCATTTGTCTTTACTTTGTGAAAGGGTAGGACTGCAGAATTGAGGCATGTGTGGAGCAGATCTTAGAGTGAGTGGTCTTAGATTATCCCAGGGGATTGTCTTGCTGGGATTTTTTGAGTAGGGCTGGACCAAACATCATACAGTGCACTCTAAGGATAAACCTTGTTTTAGGCTAGATGGTCAAAGAGTTCTTTTGAAAGTAAACTTTCTATCTAAGCTTTGTCATTCACCTTTAATAATGGTTTGTAAAATAACTCCTCTGCAATTTAATTTCTCAGGTTTATTTTTAACCCAAAGGGAATTGATAAAATAATTTTAAATAACAGGGACATAGACTATGTTTCAAAGAAATATGTTTGAAAAATGTTTCAAAGAAAGGGTGGGAACATTTCTTCTGGCTATTGTGTCTCTACTTGGGTACATCATAAAACAAAATCAATTTGCTGTGGATGAATAAGATTTTTACAGGGCTCTAAGGCAGTTAGCTCCCAAATCCAGTTAAAAGCCAAGATGAGTTGAGCACCTAACTGCTAAGACCAGCCTTTTTGGCAGCTGTGCCACAAATTAAGCTCTGTACCTTCCCAGAGCGCCACTCTGATCAACTTCCTCTGCTTGATCTTCTGCCTTCTGCTTCTTACTCTTTGCTCCTTGCATGGTCTGCTGCTGTACTTTCTCCCTGCTCCCTGCCTGGTGGTCTGCTGTTCTACTTTTTGCTTCCTGCCATATTTGCCACTATGCTGTCTGTCTGCCTGCACCCTGATCTGCTGCATGCCATAGACAAGGGTCACCCATGTGACTTGTGGCACCACTGCTGCAAGTTGGCCACCCCTGACTTCAACAGTATGAAACTCACAGTGTATAAGATGAATAAAACTGGTCTGAAGATAGCAAAAAGAATAGATCCTTTATGGAAAGATTC